CTCACCTGGAAAGGATGGAAAAGGTTTTTTATTTTTGGCATGGTTGGGACCAGATCTCATCCGCCATCCCGGGAAGGCCAGGCTGGCCGGACCGGTGTTTTACCGCCTTTAGGGTTGGTGTGTGCCACCCTTCCCGCCGTAAGGCAGGACACCTTCGGGTTCCCCCGGCTTTTCCCAAAACTCCTACAACCTGACCTACTTCCTCGCCTGCCGGGAGGAGCTGCTGCGGGGCTCAGCCGAGCTGCTTCCCACTGGATGCTCCCCCAGTGCTGGATGCTACAAGCTTCCCCCATCATGGGGACATCCATGTCCCCCATCCCGGTGGCATCCTGGACCCTTCCAGGGGGTCCATCCCTGCAGCCCTTCGTGGGGTGCCGATGCCTGGAGCAGGTGCTGGGCTTACGGAGGGAGGTGACAGCGCAGGCCGGGAGCTGTCAGACAGGTTTGTGCGTGGCAGCAATTAAAAGCAGGGTGTTTGTTTACCCGGCGTGTGGTGCTGAGAACCAGGGCAGCTTCCTGGGTGTAACCCGGCCTGCGAGCCCTCGGCGAGGCTGGGAGCCGCCGAGGGGCTCTGCCTCGCCCCTGCCACGCTGGCCGCGTCCCCTCCGCCGAGGGCTGCGAGGGCCATCGTCCCCTTCCCCGGCGCTGGGGAGCCGGAGCTGAGGCCGAAGGCATCCTCGTGTCCTTCCTCCCCCGGCCACCTGTGCAGGAAGCTGCATTGTCCCGTCCGCATCCTGCCCCTTCCCACCGCCTTCCCGCCGTGTCCGGCCACGGGATCCCCCGCACGCAGGCAGCAGCTGGGCCGTGGCTGCCTCGTCGCTGCCCGGCGCTGGGGTGGGAGCGCTTGCGGCTGGAGCGGGGCCGTGGGGAGGATTTGGGAGCTCGCCCTGCGTGGTGCGGGAAGACTCCCTGCGGGGCGGGAGAGGTGCCCGTGCCCTGCGCACCCTGGGGAGGCTGAGCCAGTGACCCCCGGGACTGGGCATCCCCGGGGTCGTTTTGGGGAGGTCTCCGGAGGGTGTACGGACCCCGAGGTCCCGGCGGGGTGGCTCGGTGCCGTTGGGCCGGGGCTGGCGCCAGGCCCGGGCAGGTGCTGCCGGCTCCCGAACTCGCCCGCCTGGCTGGGCGGCAGGTGCCTGTTTCGGTGGCGGCCCCGGCCGCAGGCGGGAGGTGGGGCTGGGTGTGGGAGGGAGGCCCCCCACCATGGGGGGGCCAGCAGGGGGGAGCCCCAGCCCCGGTGCACGCTGCCTGCTGGCACCCCGCTTGCTCGGCTCCTGGGTGCCCCGGGGAGCTGCCCGGGACCTGGCGGGTCTCTCCCAGCACCAGGAGCCCAGGTGGGTCCTTGGCACCAGCTGGGAAAGGGGGTGCCGGGGGGGTTTGAAGTCCCGGCTGCCCGGCATTGCTGACTTTGTCTCTCCTTCGGCAGTGCTGGTACCGGGCTTTTCTCTAATTCTCCATGGCAGCAGCACAGGGTCCTGTGACCTGTGAGCCCGACACCCGCGTCCTCTGCACCTACCTCTCCTCGGAGCCTGTCGGCGTCGTCGGCAGCATGGGCAGTGTGGGCAGCCTGGTGGAGAAGCAGGATCTGTCCCCCCTGGAGCTGCGGGCCCCGCTGGGGGGCTCGCGGGGGCTTCGGCAGCCCGACGGCTTGCTGCGGAAGGGGCTGAGCCAGCGGGAGCTCTTTGGCTACCTGCACGGGGCCAAGAAGGAGATGCGGTCAGAGCGGAAGCACCAGACGTCGGGCGCCTGCTACAAGCGGGACTACGAGAGCGACCGCGAGAACCGGTCCCCTGAGCGCTGCTCCCGGGAGCATCACCGCGGGGCCGACTTCTCCAAGAGCTCCTTGCCCGAGAGGGGCCGCTTCGACAAGGTGAGGCTGTGGGCCCTGAAAGACATCTGCGTGAGGATGGGGCTGGGGCAGAACGGTCTGTGCCAGGGATGGGATGCGGGGATTTGAGGATGTCCAGGGATATGGGACTGGGAGCGAGCGGGTTCTCCCTGGCTCTGGGCGCCTGTGGGGGCTGTTGTTGGGCTCATCCTGACCCCACTCTTGTTTTTCAGTGCCGTATCAGGCCCTCGGCCTTCAAGGCGGTGGCCGGGAAGGGGCTGGTCTCCATGCAAGGCCTGTCCTCGTCCAAGGGGCAGAAGCTGTCCAAGAGCAACGGGAGCCTGCACACGCTGCTGTCACAGAGCAGCACGGCAGCCTCGCAGCACGGCCCGCTCCGCACCCAGCTGCTCCACGCCATCAGCCTGGATGAGGCCTCCGACTCCAGCCACAATTCCATCCAGAGCTTCCCTTCCTACGGCTCCCCCCCCAAAACCCAAACCTGCCCAGAGCCAGTTCAGCGCCTCCATGGGTCACATCAACCACATCGGGGGCTCCTTGGACAGGGTCTCCCGGAGCCCCAGGGACCCCCTGGCCCCCGAGAAGGCGCCCCTCTCCTGCAAAAGCATGGCCACGCTGAGCCGGCTGCAGAGCCCTGGGGAGCCCCCGCCGCCCTACGAGTTCACCTACTCGCTGGAGGACGCGGTGAAGCAGCTGGAGGACCGGCTGCAGGAGACGGGAGGAGAGCTGCGGCAGCTCAAGAGGAGCCTCAGCGAGACCGAAGACCCCTTCACGCAGGTGAGCCCCGGGCAGGGGTGTGGGGCCGTGGTGGAAGGAGCTGTGAAGGAGCTGGTGTCCTGCCGTGGTGGGCGATGGGCTGGGAATGTCCAAGTGTGGGAGGACCCAACATCATGGGATCTTCTGGGATCCCTCCCTGGGATCCCCCCACGCCAGGGCAGGCTGCGGACCCTCACCAGCGTCCGCCTGTGCTGCAGGTGTTTGAGGACAAGCAGCGGCTGTGGCTGGACGAGCTGGAAGATCTGAAGCAGATGTACATGGCCCGGCTGCAGCAGGTGACGCAGCAGGCGCAGCGCGGGCAGCGGGCGCTGCAGCTGCAGCTCTACAAGGCGCAGCAGGAGAAGAAGCGGCTGCAGGAGGAGCTGAGCATGCAGCAGTGCCAGTGCGAGGACCCCAAGCTCCGGCAGCCCCAGGGTGAGCGCGTCAGCCCCAAGCTGGAGGAAACCAAGTGGGAGGTGAGTCCCCTTCCTTTCCTCCATCCCTCCTTTCCTCCAGGGCAGCGGTTCCCTGCTCTGGTGTCACCCCTGGCCACGGGACGGCGGGGACGAGGCGGGTGTGATGCTCGTGGTCTCCCAGGGATGCTGCGGTGACAGCCTGGGGTGCTGCCACCCCTGGGGTCCTGCTCCTCCAGGCCTCCCTGACCACTCGCCCGTGCCCTGCAGGTGTGCCAGAAGGCAGCGGAGATCTCCCTGCTGAAGCAGCAGCTCCGGGACACCCAGGAGGAGATGGCTCAGAAGCTGGGCGAGATCTTCAGCCTGAAGACGCAGCTGCGGGAGGCCAAGGCGGAGGTCCAGGCCAGGGACTCCCAGCTGGCGCAACTGGCAGACTCCTTCCAGAGCCCCCCGGAGCCCGGCGCCTCGCTGCCGCTGGGCGACGACCCCATGCCGGCGTGCCAGGACTTCCCCGGCTGTGAAACTGATGACTCCAAGTGCCGGGGCCTTCACAGCGACACGGCGGAGCCCCTGGAGCAGCAGGTGGAGTGGCTGTGGGCAGAGCTGCTGCGAGAGCGGCGCCAGGGTCAGCTGCAGGCTGTGAACTTTGAGCTGGAGAGGAAAACCTGGCAGGAGGAGAAGGAGAAGGTGCTGCGGTACCAGCGGGAGCTCCAGGCCAGCTACATGGAGATGTACCACCGGAGCCAGGCGCTGGAGCGGGAGCTGCGGCAGCTGCGGTCAGAGCCCAGGGATGTCGGGGCCGACTCGCCGTGGATCGAGCGGGTGGAGTCCTCGAAGATCTGAGCGGCGGGATGCCGGCGGGACTGTGAAGGGGAAAGGTCTCTTGCTGCTGCAACGGGACGATCTCAGGGTCTGCGCGAGGACCGGCCGCTCGGCGCTGCCCTGGGGCGAAGGACTGATTGCCACAAGGGAGCTTTTCCTTCTTGCAGCGCTTCGGGCCCTTCTGGGGGGGTCTCTGGAGATGGGGGGGGTCATCTGTGCTAGAGTGGGGGTCTTGCATGTGCCCCGTGCTCTGACTCCAGGAGCGCTTGCCCTGTGATTCCTTCAGCCATGGGGCAGAAACCAAGCGCCCTGTGAGACATTCCCTGTCCCTCCTGCTCTGCTGCCCCCGTTCCCTACAACCCAGTAACTTAATGTCTTGCTAAGGAGAGGCTCACGCCCCATCCCCAGCGCCTTGCTGGGGGGGGTTCCAGCTGCTCCTCGCAGTGGCTGCCCCATCAGCAGGGTCCCGGAGCCGGCAGTATGCCCGCACCGGTGTGTGTTGGTGACACTGGGAAGGCAGAGGAGGAAAGCCTGTCGAGTCCTGGTACTGCTGGGCGGGGGAGCAGCCGCCCCAGCACCTCTGTTGGGGCTTTCCATGCCACCAGTACTGGTGCTGCTCGGCAATGGAGGGCGGTTGATGCAGCTTCCCTGCAGGGAGCCCGTGAGCTGGGAGGGGTGAGTGCCTTGTGCAAGGAGGGAGGGGAAGCCGGTGCCCTGCCCCACCGGGAGGCCCTTGGGGAGGGGAAGGAGGACTGGGTGGGGGGGCTGGGCGGCTCCCCGGCCTGGGGACGGGGCTGGGGGACCCCGCGCCGCCCCTCCCAGGGCGGGCGAGGGGGAGCCGGGCCGGCGCTGGCGGGGAAGGGGTTGGAAGGAGCCCTGCTCCGTGCCGGTACCAGCGGAGCCATGTGAAGGCCGTGCCCGGCCCCGCTCTCCTCGGCCTTTCCTGCAATAAACCAGGGTTTCATTCTTCTGGCCTCTGCCTTTGCTTTCCTCCAGGGGGTACCGGGGCTCCGGGCCACACCGGGGGGGTGCGGGCCGGCCTGGGCCGTGCCGTGCCCGGGGCGGCGGGGCCGCCTTCCCTCCGGGCTCCCCCGGCCCCAGCTGCGCTGCCAGGCCCAGGGCCCGCGCCTGGGAAGGGAGAGAGGCAGGCGGCCCGGGGCT